TGCAGACTATAGTCTAGACTATAGTGTAGACTATAGTCTAGACTATAGTGTAGACTATAGTCTAGACTATAGTGTAGACTATAGTCCAGATTATAGTGTAGAGTATAGTCCAGATTATAGTGTAGACTATAGTCCAGACTATAGTGTAGACTATATTGCAGACTATAGTGTAGACTATATTGCAGACTATAGTCTATACTATAGTCATAGTCCAGACTATAGTCTGGACTGTCTAGACTATAGTCTTGACTGTAGTATTGACTATAGTCTTGACTATAATATAGACTATAGTCTTGACTATAGTATAGACTATAGTCTTGACTATAGTATAAACTATAGTCTTGACTATAGTATAGACTATAGTCTTGACTATAGTATTGACTATAGTATTGATTATAGTCTTGACTATAGTATTGATTATAGTCTTGACTGTAGAAGACTATAGTCTTGACTATAAAAGACTATAAGCTTGACTATAGTATTGACTATTGTATTGTCTCTAGTCTTGACTATGGTATTGACTATAGTTTTAACTATAGCCTTGTCTATAGTATGGACAATAGTCTTGACTGTAGTATAGACTGTGGTCTTGACTATGGTATAGACAGTAGTCTTGACTATAGTATAGACTATAGTCAAGACTGTATAGACTGTTGTCCTGACTATAGGATAGACTGTATTTCTGATTATAGTATATACTATTGTCTTGACTATAGTATAGATTGTAATCTTGACTATAGTATAGACTATAGTATAGACTTTACTATAGTACAGATTATAGTCTTGACTATAGTATAGATTATAGTCTTGACTATGGTATAGACAATAGTATAGACTATAGTATTGACTATAGTATAGACTATAGTCTTGACTTTAGTATAGACTGTAGTCTTGACTATGGTATAGACTATAGTCTTGACTATAGTATAGACTATAGTCTTTGCTATAGTATGGACTATAGTCTTGACTATTTTATAGACTATAGTATTGACTATATTACAGATTGTAGTCTAGACTATAGTACAGATTATAGTCTTGACTATAGTATAGATTATAGTCTTGACTATGGTATAGATTATAGTCTATACTATAGTTCAGACTATAGTGTACACTATTGTTCAGACTATAGTATATCTGAACCATAGCCGATACTATAGTCAAAACTGCAATTTATTTTATAGTATATACCATAATCAAGACTATAGTCTATACTATATTCAAGACTATAGCCTGCCATGGTCTATACTATAATCGAACCTACAGTTCAGATCATAGTCGATACTACTATACTATACTATTCGATATTACAGTCCAATCTACAATCTGAATATTGCAGACTATTGTCTCTATTATAGTTTATATAGACTTTAGTCTGGACTACAGTATAGATTATATTCTGAACGATAGAATATATTATATTCTGAACTTCAGTCTGGACTTTAGTCTATAATACAGTGTGGACTATATTTCTAAAAATTCTTATAGTCTTTATAAAGATAATAGAAAAAATCTAGAAAAAAACATATTAAAAATAAATTAAATTAAAAAAGTCATAAAATATGAAAAACAATTCTTGGAAAAAAATCTATTTATTAATTATAGAAAATTGTGTTCACGGATTCGTTTAATCAGCCTTAAAAGTTTTTGTTGTTGCTTTGCTATGTGTATTCAGCCACTATGGGGGCGCCAGATTTATTTTTATTAAAAAAAAAAAAACAAACGACATACAGCAAACATCTGTGACATATTTACACATATAAATTTGCATTCAATTACAAATTTATTTATTTTACTTAGTACAATACTAATGAACTTTCTTTAATATTTTTTGTTTAAATTTTTTGCAATTTATGTATTTTTTTTTTGTTCCTCAAATCTGTCTCGTTGATTTTTGCTCTCGAAATGTAACAAATGTATGTCTTCATTTTCTAATTTTAATTTGAAAACTAAACAATTTGTTAATACATACATTTATTTAGTTTTTAGTTGTTGTTGTTTTTTTGTTCATTTTTTAAATTATTGTAAAGATAAAATAAAATTTGAAATTTTTTTTTTTATTTGTCTCTGTACTTTTGCAAATATTGACGCAACGGCTGCAAAAACACAAAAATTGCTACTTTCAATTTTTTTTCTCGTTGTTTTCATAAATGGTTGTTGCTGTTGTTTTGAGAATGTTTTGAAAATTGTACACAGGGACAAAAATTGGATATTTATGTACGTCCATTAAAATGAACAAACCACAAAGGAAAGAAAAAAAAAAACAGCAGCAAGTGAACAAATAATAATAAAAATAAATAAATAAATTTTATGTAGAGAAGAAGAGTAAAAAAAATGTTGTATCTGAACAAGTGAGTGAGTAAATTCTAAACTAAAATCTGGCTAAGAGCCCAGTCTATATTTTGTTGTTATTTCCTTTCAATAACTTATTGTAGTTGCTGTTATTTAAATTTTGGGCGAGTGTCGTCGAAAGATTAAATTCATACATACAAAAATAAGTAAATATGTATGTGTGTATCTAGCCAAAGTATCTGTACTAAAGTAAATATATGTTTATTTGTTGTTGTCTAAATTTCCCATGGACTACTGCGTGTAACCAACATGAAAATATAATATGAAAAAAAATCTGAAAATAAAGATTGGCATGTCGTTTCATTTTGATTTTAATGGTACGTCTGTCTGTCTGTCTATTTTGCTGTCTGTAGTACAACAAATACTTAAACAGTAATAAGCCACGTTATTAGCACCCCCCAAAAAAGTATTACGTTGACTCTGTGTGTTACCATATTTCAAAGAATTTCTATGACGTCCAAGTTTGTTTCTTTTTTCTCTTACATTTTTATCAATTTAATGTCTTCAATTTATTTTAGTTTGAAATACATATTTCAAAATATTTTTTTCCAAAACAATTTGTCTGGGAGGCTTTTTGTAATAGTAATTTTAGACACATCTGTACTTTTATATTTTATCTTTTAAAAAATCTAAAGTAATTAATAAATTTAACAAAACAGATTGCGTCACAATTACCATTTATTTTGGAACGTCGATATTTGGATATGTAATTTGATAGTTCTGTTCATTTACATATATAGTAATCCCTAAGCGCAGGGACCAAAAGTAGGATAATGTCAGAAAGGCAACAAATCTTTCTTACATTGCCAGGCCTGGTTCTCGACAAAAATTCCTATATATCCCATATTGAGGTCACATATCTTTCTGCCTGAAAAAACACTACAGTTGTTAGGAAGACCAATATCAATGTCGTGCACCTATTATTCCAATGCATTCTGATCTCTGAACTTTATATAGTTGGTATATATAATATACTAAAGACCCTTATGTATGAACAGAATCTATATCTACACAGAGGGAAAAGGAAATATACACGCCTGGTACCAAAGAGTTTATAATTTTTCAATAACATCCGTTGTCAAAGTATATACATACGTACGACAAAACTATGCAACAATTAGTTGTCGAAATCTAAATTTTATACACATCTGTTGTCTAAATGTTAACAAACGTGGTAAGCTCACTATTGACAAGGGATTGTTTGTCAATAGTGAGCTTACCACGTTTGTTAACATTTAGACAACGGATGTGTATAAAATTTAGATTTCGACAACGAATTGTTGCAATGTTATCACCATTACTTAGTGTTGTACGTATGTATACTTTGACAACGGATAGTATTGAAAAATTATAAACAGTTTGGTGTCAATTTGGTAACAGGCGTGTATATTTTTTTTCCCTCTGAGTATAGCTGTGTACATCCATTTAACAATGTCTAAATAACAATGAGTTCTTCTCTTTCCAGATTGAATCCATTAGAACTTTATACATATTTAACTACTTTTTGGGGATCGATCTATGATTACCATTTATTTTTTTAATTTTTTTTAATAATAAATAACAAAGTTTTAATTCGTATAAATAAGACTTTGATATGGATAAACGTTCTATATTTTTGAGCAAAATTCTATTTTAAAACAAAAAATCTGAAATCTACAATATCTTGGCTCGGTCATATGATCAATCATATTTTTGACCAGACATCTTTTCTGCATGAAAATTTATAAAAATAGTAGAATGATCAGTAGGGATCACTCTTATTTGAAAATATAAGAAAAACTAATTTTGCATAAAATGCAAACACAAGTTCGTCTTACGATTTCGCATCTACGTACTAATAGCACGTGCCACATACTGTAACCAATTCAACATGTATGAAGTATGTTTTTATTGTTGCTATGTTAAATTCTAAAAATAATTTAGTGTAAAAATGTTTTTGTTTTTATTGTATAAATTGTTTTTATTTTAATAAAGTACATGTTTTACTACATTCACATTTGTTCAAAAAAAAATTTAACAAAAAAACATCATTGGGTCAAAACTTGAGACATTACTAAAAAGACCATTTTTTAGAAAATTTTTAGAGATTTTTTTATGTTCACACATACTAGAAATTAGTTTGTTTCGCAGACAAAAGTCCAACAAATACAATGTAGAAATTTATTTCACTTTTGTGTAATTTTTTCAAAATAAAAAAAATATTTATAAAATTTTGTTGAATTGTTCTTTTTTAGCTGTTTTTGTCTTTCGGTCTTTCGAATCTTGTTAAAATGTTTTAATGCATATGAATATTTACACGTAATGAAAAAGTTAAGGTTTGAGGGTAGGAAGTGGGGAATGTTTTGGAGGGTAAAGGAAGTAATTAGCAAATGACTAGTTAATTGAGGGTTTAACACACATTTATTGTTACAAATAAAGTTTGAGTTTTACTATATACAACAGTCAACGTGCGTGCGACAGAGAGAGAAAGTGTGTGTGAGAATGAAAGAGAGGGGGATTTAATTTTTAATAATTTAAGGGAATTTAAAAGATTCCAAACTAAATCTCTATGTAAATAAAACAAAAGGGTCAAACTAACAAATTTTACGTTTAGAAGGGAGAATTTGGGTAAAAACTTATTTTTTTTCGTAACAGGTTTCTACTAAACTTACCCATGATTCTGGGTGGGCAGGTGGCATGATCAGGACCTGTTACCAATGCGTACAAACAATTGTTTTTGTTTATTTTCGTTTGTTATGATTTGGTTTTTGAAAAATAAATTCAAAATTTTCATTAAATATTTTACAAATTCTATGTCTTTTAGTTCTTCATACACATAGATCGGCAGATTACTTATAAAGAAATTTGTTGAGTTTCTTTGTGTTTTTTTGTGAAAATTAAGTTTAAAAAGTTAGTCACAAAACTAAATTGGTTAGTTTGGCTAAATGTTTGAAAAAAACGTCTGTAAATAATGTTGAATATTTGGGTATTTGTTGCGTTTATATGCAAATATTACACTCATTTAATAACTAAACTAATAGCAATAAATTAAAGTTTTAGTCACATTTCTAAACTACTTAAATATGCTGGCTAAATTATTTATTTAAAAAAAACTGCAACTGCGCATAAATTATTTTTCGAGAAAAAGAATCCTTTACTTTCTTTGCTTAACTGTTTTGAAATTTAAATTTTGTAATTACACATTTTTTTATAAAGAAAAACAAATGAAAAAAATTTTAAAATTTTTTAATGATAATAGTACTTACAGAACAATACTGCCACGAAATCGGTATCTTCAATGATTTTTAATAAGATTTTAGCATTAACTTCCTCAATACGATCGGGCAAGTCCATGGCCTCCAATGATGTTAAGAAATCTAAAACACCTTCTTCATCCATAAGATCACCATCATAGATAATTGGTTCCTTTTCCCTGTTGAAGGTTTTTTAACAAATTTGTAGTCGTTCGAAAAATTTCGGTTTGTTGTGATTGTGTTAAAAATTTTTACCTGAAATATGTAAGTGCTGGGAAATTCTTAATGCCGTATTGTTTAGCTAGACGTTTATCGTTGATTTTAACAAAATCAACACCAAATGAATCGGTGTCATCGTCGATTTTTTCGAGTTCGGCTAACACTTTATCGCAGGTAACACAGCTTCGAGCATCTGTGGGAAAATGTAATATAAAAGAGAAAGTTAGTGAACATTTTTTTTGAGATCTTGATAATATAATGAAAATATAATAAATATTGATATATAATTATAATATTGATAGTATTGGTATGGAAAATTTAAATTTTGAAAGAGTATTCAAAAAGCATACTTTTTATGGATTAACCCCCATTTCTCAATGTCTTGATATTTTATCGCATCGGTTAAACGATAGCCGGATGGGCCTAAAACTACCGAATTACTTTTCGTTTTTTTATCTATTAACTAAGAGTAAACAAGTCTAAGCAATAGTCAATTGGCTCGTACAAGTCCATTGCTTCGTCAATGGACAACGCTATTAGTCAATATTCTAACTAATCTATGGACTATGTTATTGACAAGACTATTGACTAGTTAAATATTCTATGGACTAGGTTTTTGACTAGTCTTTTAACAAGACTATGGGCTAGATTATTGATTATTCTTGAGACCAATCTCTTGACTTGTCTATAAACTAGACAATTGACTACACAATGGGAAAAAGAAACGCAACGTTGTCAACATTGCTACAATTCTTTGTCGAAATCTAAATTTTATACACATCCGTTGTCTAAATGTTAACAAACGTGGTAAGCTCAATATTGGCAACGGATTGTTTACCACGTTTGTTAACATTTAGACAATGGATGTGTATAAAATTTAGATTTCGACAACGAATTGACAACGCAACGTTGTCAACATTACATAGTGTTGTCGTACTTATGTACATATATACTTTGACAATGGATGTTATTGAAAAATTATAAACAGTTTGGTGTCAATTTGGTATCAGGCGTGTGGACCTCTGTGGACCCTAAGGATTATTCGATCAACTATAATATGGACCAGTCGATAGGCAAGTCTATTGACTATTCTATGGACTAATCTATAAACTAGTTTATTCACTAATTTATGCACTATTCTATGGACTCTTCTATTGACTAGCCGATTGATTATTCTATTGACTAGCCGTTTGAGTAATATATGGACCAGTGGATTCACTATTATATACACTAATCGATTCACTACACTCAGGACTTATTATTACGCATAGTAAGGGCTACTTTTTGGCAAGACCACACTGCTCGTCAGATGTATCTTTGTGTATATTAATGTGATATTAGATCCAGACTGTAGCTGGGACATAATTAACTAAGATTGAAAATAATGTATTTGCCCAGAAATCCATTATTCTTGACAGACAGGGTAGGTCATTCCCAGAGAAGCTGGAAAAACTATTTCTCTTTATGCCTGTTCTTCCAACCGAGACAAAATTCATTGAAGGTTAACCCAAACCGACTGTCAAGTCTGTCTAGCACACAGTGTCCAGTTATTTAGTACCAGCAAATCAGACTATTTCGGGTTATAAGTTGTCTAGTTAACTCATTGAAAGAAATCCTTATCAGTTTGACCCTTCTGCATGAGTCCATCTAATAAATCTACTGAAATAGCGTTTGAGATATTCAAAGCAGATCTCGTTCTATGCATTCTGTTCATTTACATAGTAGTCTCTATGCGTCGATTGACTACTCTGTTGACTAATTTAATGACAAGTCTATGGACTAATCTATTGACAAGTCTACAGACTAGCCTATTGAATATTCGACAGTCTATTCTATAGACTTGTATATGTCTCTCTTGCTAGTCTCATAACTAGTAAAAATTCTTATTTTTGATGTACAAAATTAACTTATACTCAGGGTACACTAAAGAAAATTAGACATTTTCACTGTGTAATTTATAATTTCAATAGCTCTTTAATGGATTTCTAATTTAAATTTCCGTTGATTGTTGATAAACACAGAAAAACGCATAACAATAAGCCTCAAATTGTGAAAAGAAAACACATGAACACAAAATTATGTAAATATTTCCGCAATTAATAATTTCGCATGAAAATATAAAAATAAAAATTAATTTATTCCCAACATGGCAACAACTAAATAACACGTGTAAAAGAACAAACAACAAACTGTTAAAATGTTTGAAAAATTGTCTAAAAAAATAGAAAAAATAAAAGAATTATATATTTTTTTCAAAAATTGTTTGGGTATCGTGTGGATTCTTGCACAGTGGGTGCAACATCAGCAGCAGTTAAGCTGATTCGCAAAAGCATCCGCATTAGCATGATCGTCATCGTCGTTTACCGCCAACAATATTCCCAAATTTTTAGTTGTATGAATGAAATGTTCATTTTTATTAATTGATGTATTTTATATAAATTTTTACACCTCTTTCGTTTCCTTTCGTTTTTTTTTTTTCTTAATTTCATCTAGTTCATGATTGGGAGAAGGTGGAGGGTGAATTTTCTTTGCCACAACCACTGATGGATGATTTACAAAGATAAAAATTAATTTCAATTACACTCTGCCCAAAAACTTGTTGATTTTTTATTTCATTCTTTCTTTAATTCATAAAAATTTTCTATTCTATTGAAAATGTACACAAAGTTTATTTTGTTGTTTAAACCCAAAGAAATGTTATAAATAATTGTAAATTATTTAGGTAGAAATATGTATAAATATATAGCATGTATGTGAGTACAATATCTTTTGATTAATATGCATAATCTTTGCAAACAAAACTATATAAATACATACATATTTGGCTTAACAGTGCGGGTGTTAACTATAAGGGTGTGCGAAATAAGTGTATTTATATATATTTCAAATTCAATTAGATTTTAAAGAAATTTTTTCATTCATAAATTGTTCCCTTCCACAATTAACTTTGACAAAAATAAAGCAAAAGAATTATTAAAGATTTAAATCACGAAAATACCTGGAGTCTTTAGAAAATATATTAAAATTCGATTCCCAATTCTTTCAAAATTTGACACTATGACATGTAATCATAGAAAGATACTTGATTCAAATGTTCTTAAATTATTATCAAAGTTCTGATTAAACCATGTTCGTATGGTCGTAAGACGGACATTGGCGGTATTTCGACTGATTTTCAATCATGAAAATTGAGTACAGCGCTTTTGGCGGCAAATATTTTAATTGAAAACAAAATGCATCGTTTTTAATGAAAACCTCTATTGAAGAGTAATATTTGTTCATAACCTTTAAACATGTGAAACTAATGTTACATAAATGCCTGAAATATTTTGTCCGAATATTTGAGGAGTATTGAAATCACATTTAGGGACAATAAAGCGCATCGCATTTAATAAGTTCATATATATTTAAGGTTTTTGAGCTTGGGGGAAGGGGATAATGATTCCATTTTCAATTATAATTACATTCAAGTTTTGCCAATTACTTGTAATTGAAGAATTACAAGTAAATAAAATTACTTGCAAAAGTGTTTTCTTCTTTATATACGTAAGTAATTGTTGTTGTTGTAACAGATTGGCTGTGACTGGATGTTCCTCCATGGGGAAAAACAGCTGTTTCTGAGTTGACAAAACTTTGGCCGATTCAGAATCAGGTCGTTCCAGAGCGGAGGTCCAATTTTTGTGGGAACATCGTAAGTAATTGTAATTGGCAACACTTCAATTACAAATAAATGTAATTGGTTATTGCACAATTACACATTACAAGTAATTATAGTTGACCATGTATTGAATTGCTTTATGTAATCATTACTCTTAAGCCTCATATTAATATATCTTTATTGTAATCAGATGTATCAGCATTATTTGCGAAAAAGTATCTTCCATGCAGACTATAAATAATTATGGACTGAACTCTGAAGAATTTATAGCATCATATTGATACTATCGCATATTAAAATTAATTTTCCGAAAGAGGGCGGAATGAAGACAGGCTCAATTATGAACCGATTTACGTATTTTTAAACTTTGTAAATTTTAGTGTTTTTCAATTTCTTAACAAGATCTTATATGCAGATCTATATACATTACATTTGGAGTACTTATTTGGGTTGGGTAAAAACTTTCATATATGTTTGGGGCTTTACAAGCTTTATATACATATATTGAAAAGTAATGAAGTAGGAAGCTAAAAAATCAGATTTAGCTGAATAGATTATAAGTCATTATTTTAACACGCTTATAACATTGGAAGTAAGTACCACACTCGTATACAAATAACTACTTAAATAAATACTTACAAATAGGGATTTAAAAAGATGTTTTGTTTTATGCACAAAACAAGTTGCCAAACATAATACGAACCTAGGCTCATAAATTGGTTATAAGAACACTTAATAGTAATGCAGACGGTATGTAGTAGTCATTGAAAAGTAAGCTCTTATGTAACTACAAGACATTACCGAGTTTTTGCCAGTTTAGAAATTTATTTAGGAATTTCATCTACAAAATTAACCTTAAAACCATTTTCCACGCTATAAGAGTAAATATTTATGCCTTAATATCACATCTTAGTAATTTTAAAGAATAATATAGTTAAAAATGAAAAATAGAAAAAAATTAAATAAATAAAGACATGTTGAAAAATATATGAGGTGTTTATGTAGGAATAAATGTAAATATATATATATAAACATACTTGCATACAAATTATTTATATAAATGAATGAATAAATAAATAAAACTTATATTTATACATACATATGTATAAACGTATTTATATGTATTTATTATAGAGAAGCCTCTTTATGTTTATTTAATATTTTCCCATTCATCTTTCTATATAGAATATAAAAATTTAAAAAACATACATACATACTTACATGCAAATATACATACAGACAAGATAAAAAAAATTTATTTATTATACATATTGTGTATTATTTATTTATTTATTTATTGTACATAAATACATATGAATATCTTATTAGGCAAAAATATTAACTCACTGAATGTTTAAAAAAATTATAATATTACTTAAACACAGAGGGAAAAAAGACGTTTAAAAATTATTCACGATTGGTACCAAATTGACACCAAAGTGTTTATCATTTTTCAATAACATCCATTGTCAAAGTATGTTCGGATCGTTGTTAAACAAAAATATAAAAACTATACGACGTTATCAAATCAACAA